CATTGTATAATATATAATAATCGTAGAAAAGAGAGCGTGAAAAAAAATGTTAATTTTTTATATAAGCAATAGCGAGCATTGTTTCACGTTTCTTCTAGCATTCAGAACGAAAATGACAATGACGATGAGATTCTGAGTTAGTTGGGAGGTTTTTCAGTTTTGGTGAAAAAAAGTAGCCAGTAAAACAAACGAAGTGTGATCAGTTATGGCAAAAGGGGGTCGATCGAAGGGGGTGGTCAATGAGGATTGGCGAGCAGCTCGTCTGCTCGGTGAACCGTGGATTAAGATAAACCCTTCATCGGTTTCTTGTCGAACGATTCTTCCTCCTCTGTACGTTTCTGCGCCGTGAATGGCCGAAGATAGGCACCGGCTTAAAGTGACTCTCCCGTCATTCCGTTGAAAATTATTTAACCGCCCGGTATCGGCGGTGGTTCGCCACTTGAAAGTGGCCCCACAGAGTCGGTCTGCTATGTGGAATTAAGCGTGTTACGCGATTATTATCCACTTTCTACGTTCGAAAATTCATCTAATTTCTCCTTGCCGCTCGTTACACCTTACATCTCGTGCGAATTTCACCCTGACTCAGGGAAACGAAATTTCCTTGGCGATTATTTAGAAAAAGCCTGGAATAATCACCAAGTGGGAGAGCTTTTGCAATGCAGAGATTCTTTGGAAATTGAAAAAATTCTCATTACCGTGACTGTAGATGTACACTTAGTATGTACACTTGTACAAATAGTTTTATGGAGATGATTGAAGAAAACGGAATCTAAAATTATTTTACCTAATTAAATATTGCAACAAGCACTGTACTTTGGATACTTTATATATTTTTGCAGTTAATTGTATGAAAGCCCGCAGTTTGATGTCAGTGCAACATTAGAGACAAATTTCTAGATATCTCCTTACTCGTACGATCAAATTGTCTTCACAATGAAATTCGTACTATTGGAATTTGAAGTTTTGGGATTATCAGAAGATAATCGAGGAAAGCTGAGTCAATTGAAAATGACAGAAAAAAACGATAAAACGGAGTCTGAAATTCATATATGCAATTGATCCTTAATGAATTAAGACACATAAGGGGAGTGTTACTTCATTAGACAGACATATCGATATAAAATATTTGCATTACATTTATCACAACATTCACATATTAATTAATCATTATATTGAGTTCTGCCTCGTTTCTGTATCTGCTTTCACATGACAAAAAAAAAAAAGAAAGGCAATTAATGGCTAAAATCTGGTAACAAAGCTGCGGATTTTTATATATTTAAAATGCAAAGTTGAACATATAAAGTATCGAAAGTGTGGCGCATTCTATTTCTTTAATTAGAAAAGACTCTAATTATAATAACAAGTTTCAAAAATTTGTCCAAGGAGTAGTGGAAGTAGAACCTCCAAAATTAAATTGAAATTCCACGAGGTGAATTATCCTCGGACGAGATTTAAAAAAAATCCCACTCTCTGGCAGGCACAGCAAATTCCAAGCTCTTCGATCTTCTCGCCGTTCATGCAAATACGCGAGAGGAACGTGCCGAAGGAGTGATCCTCCCGCCCGAGGGAACGTCGAGAGGACGCGGTAA